AATTGTGGATAATTTGTTCTATTGTACTACGAGAGAGAGATGTCTCAGCTATAATATCATCATAAGTTGAATGTGGATCATTGTTGATAACCTGTCGTACTAATTCAATATTTTCATCTGTAAGCACGGAAACTGGGCGACCAGATCGAGGATCATCATTGACATCTTCTCTTCCTTCACGTAAACGCTTTGCCCATTCTACAACTGTTGGATATGATGGAGCCTTGGGTCCCAAAACTGTTGCAAGTTCTTCGTGAATTGTCTTTGGATATATTCCCAAAATAGTTCGAATTTTTATATAATATCGATTGTATTCATTATCCATTTTTGAAAATTTTTTCTTAGTTCGAATTAAAGTTTATCGAAAAAAATACTATAACTAAATCTGAAAGATATTTACTATATATACTATTATAGATAAGACATTGCATTATTTATCCATGCACAACACTCTTCGATATTAATTGTTTTATAAAATTGCCAATAGCAATCTGGGAACTTTTTGTACGACCTAAGTATATACTTCAACACTCCTTTCAGATCATGTTTCACAAAACAATAGCCGACACCAACAAGCGATAAAGGAAGCCATAAAAATGCGTGCCACAAGACTTCAAAAACAAACACAAAGAAAAAACACGTTACGACATGCGCTGACTCTATACAAAAGTGAAGACGAACGTAATAGACGATTGAATAATGAAGCACTTATTCCAGCATATCGAAGACACAATCGAGATTTAATGGTTAAGTTTACCACATTTCACAAATTGAAAGAAAAACTTATCAAATTCTTTGTATTATACATAGGAAAACGAAGAAATGCATCAAATTAGACTTCGTCACGAAGCGGAAATCAAAGCCTTACAACGACATTTGCAAGTTGAACAAGAAACTGAAGAAGAACACGGATCAAGACTGGATTCAAAAGCCGAAATCGAAAAAACTGGCCGCCAAGAACAAGAACCCCTAGGGAAAATCTTTGATGTTTCCCTCCTGGATCCTTGGCAGATATGATCAAGATCCTGAAAGGATTCGCTATTTTTTCCTGAGGAAACGACTAAATCCTGAAAGAAGTGTGTAGCTACGACATTTCAGGATCCTAATAGGATTGAAAACAAGATATTCAAGGATCCTGACAGTTTTATCATTGTTTTTCGACCAGAATTCAACGAGAAAGTCAATGATTCATGAAAGAAGTGTGTAGCCACGGAATTTCAGGATCCTGTCAAAATTTCAAAAACTCAAAATTAGGAAAGAAAAGATTTCTGGTAACGTCTTTGAGGATTTGACTAGGCTTTATTGAAGATGTTATCAAATTTCCTGCCAGGATCTTTGTAGGATTGGACTAAGTGTTGTTCAGGATGTTATTGGTTTCTTGACAGGATCGTTGCAGGATTTTCTAAATAGAACACAAGAGAAATGAACAAATAGAGTATCGATCTTTAAACCTTCAGTTTACATACCGATTAGCTAACCCAGCCAGATGTGCCATGTTAGTCTATCTCACTACAACGTTCAATATCTTAATTTCTGACTTGAATATAAACGTTTATTTGAATTTTATTTGAATATAAAGTATTTCAAAAATTCTGAGAAGTATGATATTATTTCACATATTTTATTTAGTCCGTCACATCTGATTCTTTTTTTACTTAAATTCGATCTAAAAAAATATTATGAATTTTGTTTCGGATTATTATTAAAACTATAAGCAGTTTTAATCAAAAAATTTGCTACTAACTCAAAGTACCATTTCAACAAAATACTTTTATGATGGCTAAATTCTAATCAACATTCTCATTTAAGGGTTTCCAATCTTTTTTTCTGACGAGTTGAAGGCAAAATTTTCATTACTGTAGTTTCAATCTCAAAACAGCTTCCATTTAAGAGTCATTCTCTGTAAGAATCACGGATTTTTGGAAATGACCTCCGTCAGAACGCCCTGAAAATTTCAGGGTACATAGAAAAGGTTATCCTGATTCAAAAATTATATTTTTTGTATAATACTCATAGACCTTGAAAAAAGCTACGGATACCGAAACCTAAGAAATATCGATTTTTCAAAATCGTGAAAACAATTTTTTGATATGTCGAGAATGTAGAGTTCGTCAATTTGATAATTTTTTATATTGACAATATATATCGAAATCTTAAGCTTCGATCGCTAATCTGGCTCTAAAGTAAACAAATGTTAAAAATTTCACCTATTTCCCCATCAGATCTTCTTTACTCATAATAAAAATTCAACACAACTAGTACCCATAATATATAGATTTAATCTTCTGACTGTCAGATACACGCTCATGAATTCATCGACTCTTTAAGCCTCTCCCTTTGAAAGCTATACGGCGAGGAACATCGAAAAAGTGGGACAAAAGACACACACTTTCACTTGTTTCGGATTTTTCTAAAAAGGTATCAAACCAAGAACTTCCAATCGAATATGATCTTGTTCAGAATAGTCAACTCTATGGGAAAGTCCGAGTAAAAAATGTAAAAAAACTTCAAGAAACGTTTTTCTCAATGCGACTAAGCCACAATATCCAGAAATATAAATCAAAAAGTTTTTGAAACCACCTTGCTAATTTCTGCTACAGTGAAATGAAAGATAGTCTATTACAGCTTGTAGAGCGTCATTTCTTAGTATAGGAATGTACGTTTGGTTTGGTGGACGCCGTTACTATTTTTGAAAATTTTTTGAAATCATGATATAAAGCGGGTTCAATATTACACAAATAAGCAAGTAATTTCCCTTTTGTACAGTCAATGAAGATTTTCAGCTCAAAATTAATCACACATTCAGAATCTATATCAAAACTTACGTGTATATAGTTAGTTTTGCACTCATCTACACCTAAAATTGTCTAGCAACTGATATACGAAAGTACCACACCCTCAAGAATATATTTATAGAAGATGCGCGTAATGCAAAGCTTAAACACTTTTTATTTTTATCTGAAATTGGCACAGTACACTCAGCTTTTTGTACTGATCACGAATATGTAGTTGGTTTTTTTTCGTTGTAATTTTCTGGAGAAAGTGCCCATAAACTGAAGGGGCATAACAACCATCAGAAAAAGCGTTTTGGAGGAAACTGACTTAAAAAGCCTTTATCATTGCTTGTTTTGTGATCTTTGACCTTATTTTTAAATTCCTCGTATAAAATTGATTCTAGAAATGTGTTTGCGAGCTTCATCGAATGTTGTTTGCAAATCCCTAAGCAATCATCAATAAACAACTATATCCATCGTACTACATTATTGTGCCAGCCTATCGTGTTTGTTCCAGAGATTGGTAGAACATATACTGTTATTCTGTCGCTATCACTGTCTAATAGATAACAAAAGTATCCATTGCTTTTTTAAACTCAGTTTTTACTCGCATGACAAATGATATTTTCTTGCTTTCTATCTGAAAAGTTGCAGTTCTACGAGTAATTTCGAGCGTTTTCAATATCCATTCAAACTCCATATGATAGCAATATCATATTGGAAATCAGTATAAAACACTTTCGATGCAGATAAATTCCAATCCTCTTTGAATGCGTGGATTTTTTTCAAAGTTTCACTTTCAAAGATTGTCCTGCTTCAGTGTTGCAACCGATACGGTAAACGGTCGGTCTGGTCAGATCCGGCCCTGTCTAGGATTCCTTACCGACTGATACAAGCGACTTTTTTCAAACCGGCCGATCTAGATTTTTTAAAATTATTTTTGGTTTTTTCCTCGTTTTCTGCAAAAATAGGTGATAAAGGTGTTTATTTTTGCATATTAAGCTAGTTTTTATGGCATTAATGACCTCAGGTGGCCAAAAGACTAGTAAAAAGAGTAGTCTTTTTCTAAACAAGTCGCACGTTCAGCCTAGTCTTTTTCTCAAAAAGTCCTGGTACATGACTAGTCTGAAATCTCGTATCGCCCATAGTGCCCGTCCGGACAATGAAAGTGACTGGAATCATTCTATTTGCCATCGTACACCGTTAAAAAGAACGGCAGAATAATGAACGTTGCCCTTGCTTTTTTATCCTATAAACCCTTGAAGGGTGCATGAGTCGAAGGGTTTGTGACAGTAAGGGTACATGAATATAAAAAGGGTATATAAAGCAACTTCAAGGGTTTTGTATTTCATAAATTTTTTCAAACTGTTCATTAATAAACAGATACGTGTAGATTAATATACGTATTTCCAAAATCAGTTTATTAACCAAAACTCACGGATCAATTATTATACCATTCATGCAAAACTAATCTTATTCTATGGCTAGGGGTTGATTATTCTGGGTGTGGATGTGAGAACCGTTCTTGTTCTTTTTACACAATCCCATCACTGATAAAAAAATCCGGGTAATGATAAACTCTTAAAGAGTTTATGAAAATGCAACGTATGATATACCCTTTTTGACCGTTTATCAGGATGTGATAAACCCTTTTATCTACCCACCAAAAGACTAAATAAAAGGGTTTATCAAGTTGATATACCAAGTGTGGAAAGGTTTATCAAACCGTTTATACGACTGAAGAACTCTAAAAGGGTATATCATACGTTGCATTTTCATAAA